AGCCGATTGTGATGCAGCAGCAGCAGTAGTCCCTGTTGTATATGCTTCTTCTGATTTGGGTCGCGCAACGCAAGTTGCGGCACTCGCATTAAAGGCACGTGTATTATTGTATAAAGCAAGTCCTTTAAATAATGGTGGAAATAATGGATTATGGCAGGCAGCAGCAGATGCGGCACAGGAAGTAATGGCTTATGGCCCCCCTCCCGGTACTGGTGATTATGATCTGTATAATGATTATTACAAAATTTGTTTCCATTCAATTTTAATAATGATTTTGAAGATAATTGATGAAAATCAACTTGATTACATTGAACACGTTTTAAAAATAAAGATTGATTTTGAATATATGAAATACTTGAAAGATTTTGTATATCAATTCTATTTGATATGAATAGCCAAAATATTTGATCATTTATTATAAAATTTTTTGTTTTAATTTGTTTATTTTCTTCAAATGGAATTGATTTTATTGAATAAATGTTATTTTCATTATTAATTCGTTTGATTTGTTGAATGGTTGAACATGATGATATATTTATTGGAGTTTTTTTTAATAAATTTTTAAAATTCGATGTAGGAAGTAATTTAATCGCACCATTTTCTTTTAATAAAGATTCATTTTTTATAAAGATATTTTAATAAATCTTTCATTTCATTATCATTTATTGATATTGTTGGTATTTCACAAGATTCTTTAGACATTTGTTTTTCGTTGTATCTAAAAAAAGAACATTTCTCATTTTGTAATCATCGATCATCAAATGTGTTTATTATGTTATTATTGAGGACATATAAAGGTAAATAAAAGTAAAAACAATATGACATTTTTATTTGAACTATGTAGGTTAACTTCAGTTTATTGAAGTTTTTTTTTTTTTAAATTATTTTATTTTTTACCTTTGTCAATTCTTAAGATATTTCAGGGAAAAAATTCTTTTTTTTCTAATGAAAAGATAAGAAATAAAATTATTTTCATGATTCTTTATATATGAAAACAAATTCATCGATTAAATTCAAAATTATATCATTAAGAAAATACTGATGAATTATGTTTTGTATTTAGTCAGTGAAATTTCTTCAAAAATAACTTCAAATGATGCTAAAAAATGAAATTAAATAATCAGAAAAGACGAATGTAGAAGGTTATTTTTGTGAATAGAAGAAAAACAACAAGGGATAGTTACGCATTAAATCATTATCTTTCTTTAAGGACGTGAAAAGAGAATTTTGTTTAATCTTTGTTTTCATTGAGAAAGATTGCAAATATTTATTTTCCTAAATAAAGAAATGTTTTGTGTTTTCGAGATTATCTTCGAAGCAACTTTCATTTTTAAAGTATTTTATTCTTAATCTTTGAACTCGAATTTACTTTTATTATTTCTTTAAATATGATAGATAAAAAGAACGAACACGTGTCTTTTCACCTTTAATAAATAGTACATTCGTATCTATATTTATTCACCTGGTCTATAGAAAAATTACTGAGTTCTGAGGTGATTTTTTTGTTTACAGTTAAAGATAAATAAGTTTTTTCTATTATGATAAAGATATAATTTTAATATTTAATCAAAATACAAGAAAAAAATTATTTTTATATTTTTTAACTAAAAAAAATCAAACTCATATGAAAATGCGAATATTTTGGGTAAAATATTTTATACTTTATTTATTTGGTGGAAAAAATGGTTATTATATAGATTGAATCGATTAACAAAGTATCAAAATTTACTATTGTAATAACTCCTAGTTTCATTTTATTTTGTACCATTATTGAAGTAAAAATAGACAAATATCTTAGAACATAGACATATGACGCTTAAAATTAGTAAAGTTAATTGATGATGGATTTACAGCGTGTTTTATATCGATTAAATTGTTATTAACAGAAAAAAAAACATTTTCAAAGAATTTCGCTAGGGGGTGAACCCCCTCCCTGCTCCGCCACTGGCCTACCCAGGTCAACAAATCCGATGCTGGATCCGACCATCCGACAAAGTCCGATCGGATTCCTGGAAACGGAATTGCATTGGAATCCGACTAGAAAAATCCCGTCGGTTGTTGCCAATTTTATGAGCGAGCTTTCTAGCTATATTCTATGATGATCCTTAGAANAAGCTCGACCAATCGAAACATTTTGGTCTATTCTTGAACAAATGGTATATGCTGGTGGTTGGGAAGCACAAAACATTGATCAATTGAAGAGAAGAATTAGGAAAAAATTACATGAAGTTGATATTAAAGTTGTACAAACCATGTTTTCAGGCATACCAAAACAGCTTCGACGAATTGCTGATAAAGGACCTTATGAAGCCTGTTCTTTTTGATTTTTTGTACAGTAGCATCAGTACTTTTGTTATATAGGAAAAATAAAAAATGAAAGTTTGTTGTTCGAAAAAAACGGATAAAACAAATTTGTCTCAAAACTTATGCAACAGGGGTTAGTTTGTCTATCACTCTCATTGTTGTTGATTTTAATAATGATCATCGATCGGACATTCCCGTCGGAAATTTGAACTTCTGCAATGTAGGTATCATGCCTGGCAATGCCGACAACACTTATTCACAACACATATCATATGCAACTGGACGTAGTTAAAGTATTGACTCAACAGTTGCTCAAGACTTTAATAATGGAAATAAAATAGATCTTGTTATAATTGATTATACTAACAGCACTGTGAAAGTTTTATCAAATACATGTGCTTGTTAGTTACAAATATGCGAATAAAACAAAAAAATCAAATTAAGAAATATTTCAAGTTAGTGATTGATGAGTGGAGTAACATGAATATGACGTTGAAGATTTTGAAATATTTTCATAAGATAAGGAACAATAAATCGAATGACAGTTGATAAACCAGCAAATACACTTAGAAATGTTGTTAATAGTTCAACTGTATCAAATCGATAATAATATGTATAAGTACAATAAGTTGGAGAGCAACTATTATAAAAACTTTCATAAGATACATTAATTATCCATGATTCAATAAATATTTCATTTGCTAATTTCTTATTTGTATCACTAATATTAAATCGTGTTAATGAATCATTCAATTGTGTACTATTATCATAATAGATATCGCTTGCATCCATTGAGTCTCGAATATTGGCAATACAAGTCAAAGAATAAAAACATGATAATGATGAAAGTAAAACTGTTTCCAATAGATTACAAACAAATAATATACCATCAAAATATACCATACTTGATTTCTTATCCTTCAAATATCCTACTGGCATTGAACATGCTCGTAAAGTAGCACATGAACAGCTGATATTTTCTGTTGTATCATTATGAATAACAGGAATAGTAATATATGTATTATTTGATTCTATGTCTTCTTCATCTCTGATTATATTCCAATTTGATGAAAACATTGATATTAGAGCATTTTCTTGTATAGTCATTCGAATAAGATTCAATGTTTGAGTAAATATAATTGGTATTCTTTGTTGAAATTGATTTATTGTATTATTTATTTCGTTAAGAAAATCTTTTGAATTTTGTAATTCATTAATTAACATTGTTGAAGCAAGAAAAATCTCAATACTATTATGAACACTATCTTCAGCCAATGAACAAAGTAATTGTAGAGAATCGATGAAGAATAATCTCTACGAATCAAAATGATCGTCATTTGTCAAGTGATCGTGAAACTCGGGTTTCATTCCTGAACCAAGAAATAATACATATATCGAAAGTTTTTCTGATTTCGAATTTATATTACCAGGAAGAAGAATGTATAGAATTGTATTTGTAAAACAAACTTCATGAAATCTATCAACACTTAGTTCATTAATAAAATTACCATATGGAATTGAAATACGTGTACAAGGACAATTAATATCATCTATTTGAAGATCTATCAATAATTGTTGATAATCCGTTAGAGAAGATACAGAATATATTTTGCTTATACTACGTTCAATAATTGCCGTATAAAATAATAAAATACTCAGAGAAGTTAAGAACGCTCGGATGTGGACTGTATCTTCTGACATCATCAGTCACCTCTCTCTTAACAATTACAATATTCACAATGAAGTTTTGGTTCGCTGTTGCAACGCAAGCATACACATCTGTTTCTCGATCTGTTCTTCAAGGTTGTAGACGCTCTGTCGTGTCATTTCTTTATTATCTGGATGCACAGATGTTTCTAGTTATTTTATTTCATTTACACCATCGATGCTCATCTTTGCCCTCCCTTCAACTTCTTATCGGAAGATTTTCAATGCATCGCTTTTTCGCTTTTGTACGCAACGCCGATCATAAAGCAAAAGAAGCACTGTTGATTTTTCTTTGTCCTAACCTGTTTGTTATCGCTTTCGCTTTCTGATCAGTCGAGCAATAATCTAAATTTTGTCGAATAAAAGGAAAGACTCATGCTTGACGACTGTTATCATCCTCCGGAATTCTCTATATTATTTGAAATGGAACGTTTGCTTTCACAAAATAAGAATGCGTATCGTACAAATTATTATCACGTGTGTAGTAGAGTATAAATCATGACCAATAAAAATGTTGCGTCAATCATTTCATTCATTAGGTCAATTCAATCATTTTACAAACACACTGATAGGAAGACGAAAAGTGTAACAATCATAGGAATAGAATTATATAATTGTGCAGCAGTTTTGCGCACTTTGGTTCTTTGCAAATAACTATTAATATATAAGTCCCATGATGAGAACCAGGCTTAGTTGCATCTTTTTATCTTAACTTGATGGAGTGCAATGCACTTTTCCATTAACGAATTGTGCTCAAGCTTTACCTCTTCACAGAGCGAGTATATAAGTGTATATTATCTCTTAGAATAACGCAGTTTTGGAAAGAAAGAAACAAATGGAAGCGTAACATTCCATCAGTGCTAATAGCTCCTTTCATCTCACAATTGTTTTTCGAAATCCATTAACTAATCTTTTCATCAAGAGCAATCTTGAAGAAAATTAATATAAAAGAGAAGATACTTGCATCCTTGTTCTAAATTACTCTTTCAACTTGACGTACAAAATTAAGCTGATTTTGACTTTTTTCTCAAGATTGAGAATATTTCATCTACACAGATATTCTATGAAGTAGATTCCACATTCTGAGTGAATTAGTTAAGAGTTTTTTTTTCTATTTTCGTCATTAGCAAAGATACTCGAAATTGAATGTTCTTGGATCTCATTGTTCAGATAAGCAGCGTTTTTAATCAGGTAAAATCTCATTCAATGTTTTTTTTATATCTGATTTTCAAACACTTGCGCAGCTCAATTCCGCGATTTTGTTCTTCAAGATTCAGATGTTAATAATGCATCTGGGATCCACTTTCTGTTAATTTCAGATAGCAACTGTTTTTTGATAATCGAACGCACGATGTTGGCCAACCAAAGAAATCATATTAGCAGCAAAAAAATGTTGAGTTTTTCTACGATTTGATCGATATTAAATCAGCGAAAGCCTAAGACAGCTTGTCAATGTATATTTTAGATTTCACAATAATAAAATGTCTTCAACGAATCAAACATCGTTAAGCAGTCTGTTGTTATCTATTCAACACAACGCTCTTTTTGTAATCTCCTGGTTTTATGTCACATTTGGCATTGCTGGATGTTTTCTCAACATCCTTCTCTTCTCCAAAAAACAGTTTCGACAAATATCCTGTTGTACATGTAAACCATTTCCATCCAAAGTTCTTCTTTCAAAACTTTTCTCTTGCAGATTTTCTCGTCGCATCCGTCGCCATGTTTATCCAACTGGTCATCTATTCAGTGCCATCCATTTATGCATTCTACTATTTCAACCCCATGTCATACTATCCGATTTATTGCAAAGTTCGCATGTATCTTGTTCTATCACCATCATTGATCTATAATTGGTCATATGCTGCTGCCACTTTTGATCGTTATGCACTTTCGTCAGCAAATGCTCGCCTCAGACAATTGGCAAAAGTGAAGATTGCCGTCCGAGTGCTCGTGGTAATTTGTCTTGTCTCTCTGACATTTTCAATTTATGTTCCAGTTGTATACGAGATCAAGTCATCGACATGTAGTATATTTAACAATCCAAGTGCAACACTATTTACGACATTATCAACTATCCTGCTAAATACATTCATCCCAACAATGATCATAATCGTTTATACTTTGTTAATTTGGAAGAATCTGAAAGAGAAACGACAACGTCGTCAACAGTTGTTTAATCGAGAAAATAATAATTCTGTTCAACAAAAACAGCATCGACAAGCACTCCGAATGTTATTTCTTCAAGTGATTGTGTTTGTTTTTATTCGAATCCCTTGGCTCATCTATAGTATCAACAATGTTATTTCATCTTACATCACAAATAAAAGTTCAGAAAGAATTGCAATTGAAAACTTCATCACAGCTGTAGCTGGTGCGTTCTCGTTTTTATTTCCATCAATCTCATTCTATGTNTTGAAAACTTCATAACAGCTGTAGCTGGTGCGTTCTCGTTTTTATTTCCATCAATCTCATTCTATGTGTTTACATTAGCATCAAGTTTATTTCGAGATGAACTGATTTGTGTTGTGAAAGCTTTGTTTTGTTGTAAATGTTTTCTTCATCATTAATTGTTGAACTACACCACTAGATTCACATAGAACATAGAGATCAGATATTAACAAAGCATTTCAATGTTGTCTTGTTAGATTTGACTAACCAAGTTTCAATGAGCTTTCTATAGTACAATTCAATTATATCATTCTTTATTGGCAAAGCTTGTAGATGTACGTATAGTTCTGCCTGATCTACCACCTTATCTTCGACATTGTCCCAAATATCTTGTTTTTAACCTCAGAAGACCAACTGTAGAGAAAGCAGTATCTTTCACGAAATATTTCCGTGTTTATTATTTTCAAACTGTTCTGTGTTGATTTCTTCTTATAAACTATAACTCCGAATCGTTTTCAAATCAGTTCTAATCTCACAAATGTCGTTACGCAAACCCTTTAAAGCACACTGATTTTAATAGAGCAGAGGCTTTTTTCGCAAACATACGGGCCTTCCCCACGTGAATCACAATGGCTACTGTTTGTCTGATTTGAAGCTTCTTACCATACTTGTGAAAAAGTGACAAATCGTTTTTTTCTCGTTTGTTCTGCTTGCCGAGAAGAGAAAGCAATTAGATCACCTTTTTCAACATACTGGATCGAATTTAAATGTATCGCACTATCATCCAAGATCATATATAAATTCTTGTTCTTTTACGACGTGGAAATACAAGAAATATTACGGAATTCGTGAGGTCATTCGATGAAAGTCTTCATCGAAAAATTATTGAAACAAATTATTTAGTGATATATTTGAAATTTTCGACAATGTCGATCAATGTTTGAGATAATTGAATGATATGAAAAATACCATCAAAGTCTCGTTGAGTAATGATGAGATGCGTGGAAAGAGATTTTACTTTCCATTCATCATTATTCTCAACTTTCGTCAAATATGAAACTAAGCTGTGAGTCTATCCGTGTCCTCTTTTTCAATATATCGACATCCATACTCTATTATTCGTACATTCAATCATTTTCTCTGTCTTTGGTTTTGTTTTTGTCACGAAACTAGATGAAGATCTCCTATACTTAAATGAACATTTACACTTCAAAGTACATATGAATCGTGAAAATGCGTTAAAATCAATCATTGAACTCGAAAATTGCTATACACGATTAAAGAACAATTTGCATGGTTTACCAACGCAAGTGGTTGATGACGTTTCGCATGTACATATGCTAAATAGACCTATGTACTGTCGATTTTCTAATGCAATGCTTAGGTTATATTTGCATCATTTACTATTCTGGTCTGGGAAAAGGGAACTAGCGCGAGAACTCGTGGCGATATTTTAATGCTTGAGAAATTAATGAAGTTGACAATTGAACATTTCAGTCGAGAAGTATTTGAATTGTTAACAGCTTTGACAATGTTAAAATGTAGGAGACGCTCCCTGAGCTGCTGGTGGCTAACATAAAATTTATTTTATTTTGCAGAATTGTTGAATTCTACTGCGATCTATTGGCTTTATCCCGTATTTTCCTTTGAAAACAAATCAGACCACATCTAACATTGAGAAATGCATCACACATCGCGTCGCATGAAGATATGACACTATATTCTTGTAATCACAAATTACATAACACATATCACCAAGAATTATATTGGCATTCAAGAACTGATAGATCATTTGAGCTTTTTTGTAATTATTTGTACATATCTTGTATTTCTTAATAAGATAGATTTATTTTACTTTACAAATCTAATTCTTACAAAGACTCACTATTGGAATGAGTCAATTACTACTATTCTTACACTTTGTAAATATTTAAAGAGCGAAGAACACTTTACAGAATGATATCATATAAACTGTTTCAGAATTGAAACCGGATGGTTCATTTTTGGCGACAAACTGGCAAGATCATACGTGTATGCCAGTTTTCTACCTACTAAGATATAGTAAGAAGAATTAATTTCGTGAATAGTAGGTAGAATAACTTCCAACTGCCAAGGTGTGTAATCTGAAAGAATCTTCTCGTCATGCAAAAGATCCATTTCAAGTTTTAACTTTGAAGGAAATTTAGCAAGATCACATCGAAAAAACTCAACAACAGTTCTTTTTGTCAGTAAAAACTGTAAACAGGAATATATGACTCTATGTCACGAACTGATTTGCATCTTCGTTAGATCTTGCCTTGTCCGGACCTGTTCCAATTCTGCATAGTTTTATGAATTAAAGAAAACAAATATGTTGAAGTTTTTTTTATTTAGAAAAAGAAAATTATAAGCAGCATGTATAATAGAAGGAAAAGCAGTTATTTAGTTCAAATAAGCTTCATGATCAAAGGAAAATCAGATATGGAAAAGAATACCAACAGTACCATCGTCAAAGTTTGAAACAATAATATCAACTTTAGCATCATTATTGAGATCAACAACTTCCAATGATGATGGAGCTGCACCAACTGGATAAGTTGTCTGATTAAAGAACGTACCATTGCCCTTGTTCAACAAAATTCCGATGTTATTTGAACCTTGGTTCGCAACAATAATATCGCGATAGTTGTCACCATCAACATCACTCAATCTCACTGCGATCGGTTGACTACCAACTGAGTAAACAACTTGCGGTTGAAATGAACTATTTCCACAATTGATCACAACGCTGATGGTGTTTGCACCGTTGTTACAAACAACAAAATCTGGGCTGACATTACCATCGATATCGGCAATCGCTATTCCAAATGGGGCATTTCCAACTGGAATATACCATTGAGAGCCGTATGTGCCATTACCTTGACCAAAACGAATGCTTACACTGGCGGAACCTTGATTTGTTGTAACAAGGTCCAATATACCATCGTTATTTATATCGATTACTTCGATCGCGTATGAATGTGACGCAGCTCCATAGCTAGTTGAATTCGAAAATGTAGCATTACCTTCATTTAAGAATGCAGCCCAAGTAGACGAATAATAACCCGAGTAAAGAATATCAGGCTTCTTGTCGAGGTTGATGTCAGCTATTGTTATTGCCATCGGACTTGTACCAGCAGGCAAAGTAATTTTAGGATAAAATGATCCATTACCTCTTCCAAGAAGAATGTTTATGGTATATCCATAATTGTTTACGACAGCAATATCGGATATGTTATCATTATTCAGATCACCAACAGCCAGTGCTACTGGTTGAGCATCAACCGCGTACAATGAGGCCAGACCAAACGTACCATTATCCGTATTGAAACGAACCCCTATATTATTCTTACCGTAGCTTGCCGCGATAAGATCTGGTTTACCATCGCGATTAATATCTTTTACAACGACATATGTTGCATTAGTAGCCATGTTATAAGTCGTCTGATTGAGAAACAGACGAATGTAAGCTATAAAAAATAAAATAGAATTCCGCATTTGTACTTTTAATTTCACTCTCAGACGAGAAAGACATGCGACAAATACTATTCATGATAACTTTTTCTATGAAAGGTTATCAGATGAAAAGCGACTGAACTTTTCGAGACAAAATTCAATAGATAACTAACCGTTTGCTGTAGTTGACGTTGTGGAAGTAGATGAAGTCGACGTTGAGACGCTGGTGCTGGATGATGAATTAATATCTTTTATTAGAGAAAAATAAAGACCGATTCACCTTTCCTCTCTGTGCTTTCATATGAATCTTTAAATACAAATCTAAACCTTTTTTTTAATGTTGCTCGGTCATCAAATCATTGTCTTATTTCGATTTACTCGATCAAATTTATTATTTTTCTTCAGTAGTATCAACATACTCACCAATAGGTGGAATTCGACTTCCATCAATAACAATCATTGTAATCGTATCGAGATTCACCAACAGATTATTCACTTCGTTTCTAATGTTATCGAATAATTCACAATTTGAAGTTGACCGATGAAAAGTTATTCCTTGACATTGAGCCTGCCTTAAACATAAGGACTGACAGCCACGAATATCTAATGTAGTGATTTGAATAAATGGTGAACAAATTGTGTTTGAGCATTGAAATTGATGATGATCGATGACTGACATTTTCATGGATCGAATATTTTGTGCATTGGAATGAAAAAGAAAAGTGAAGAGAAAGGACAAAGGTATTTTTGGTATCGTCATGTCTTCCAATATTACTAAGTGAAAGTGAAATGGCAAATATTTTGAACTGCTCTCCTTTTTTTCTTCTATTAACTAATGAAGATATCTAGTAAGCTCTCGCCTGATGTCTGTTTCTGTTCACCTTCCGTTTGAAAAAATAGAGCACAATTTTGTGTTGATACACGAGAAAAAAACAAGGTAATTCATTGTAGAGAAACAAACGCATTTTTTCTCTTATTCTCACTGCAAAACAATATTAACAATAAAGAGAAATATTTAGTAATTCGAATTTTCTGTATGTCTCTCATTCTTTGCTTGTGTTCCCAAAAGAAAAAAGAAATGTTTGTAAATCAATTATTTGAAAAGCCACACCACAGGAAGATCTTTCAATTGATGAAATGTACAACGTGAAGTATTCATAATAGAAGGATTATCTCGTTCAGTACTCATGACTTGTCATGTTTAGTCCATGTAATAAGTGGTATAAGTATATAAAATTCGAACAATGTTTTCTTGATTCTTTCGTCGTATCATAGAACGACGAATGTCATGTGAAGTTTAACAAAGACATAATGCACAATTGTCTTGAGATGATCAGTTTATGTCTAAGCTGGATTGCATTCAGGCTTTGTCCAAATATGAAATCTGGTATGCAAAAGTCGAGCCTAAAATAAGTGACCAATAGAATTTCAACTTTTTTCATTTTCTCTCCAATTCGAGAATCTCCACGATAGAAATCCTGTTAGCTTTCTGTTAGTGACCAAAGACTCCTGCCCACTAGACATTAATAGGCCCGACGGAAATAACAGTGAGCTGAGATCTGTATCGGATCCGGTTTGTGTGTGTGTGTGTGTGTGTGTGTGTCCTACTTCGTGGTTGACAGTGATGAACAGACGAAATGAGGTCTTCGTGAAGATATTTATTTAATCGACGAGAGGAAAAACAAAACACGACTGGCTTCGATCGTAGATCAAAAAGAGCTGCCTGTCTGATCACACAAGTTAAAAAAGCGGTCAGACAGGCGGCACGAACAATAGAGAACATAGCGAACGAAATATAGAAAACGAGGAGAACGAAAAGAAAAGAAAAAGGTTTTCGTGTAGTATTGAACCACATGAAAGAGAAAAGGTTAGCAATAACTATGTACTAACTGTTATCGCTAACAAATTCTCAGAAAGAAACTCTCATCAAATGGATTTGCAGTTAATCACGACAGATTTGTCGCCAATCTTTTCGTGGCTACTCTTCTCTTAGTTATCTTCACAATAGAACTTCCTTAGTCACAGATTACCACTGACGTGAGTCGTCGGGCAAACGAAATAAGTTTGTGAAGTTCGGACAAAATGTATGTCATGTTTAGGAATCAGTTTCTGAACAACACTTATTCTATAGTGCAGCGATGTTTTGTTCTCTCGAACATCCTTGTCAAAAAGTGACTTTGTGGGGTGTGTTCGGAAAAAAATAATAAAAACATGCGACGAAACTTCCGAATACGATGTTAAGCGCATCGTATTAATACGTATATTCAATTCCAAGGAAGCCACTCACTATGATTAAATTCACTTTCCTACTGCTACATAATTTATTCAGTCGTTCAAATATGGAAATGACTTGAAAGTTTCCAGTACTGTTTTACTATTCTCGTTTAGCGAGAGAAAGAAAAACGGTATAGCCTTAGAAACCAGCAAACATAAAATATACTACAAAGAAAAATGTTCTCAAAATCTTTCTGTAGCATTTCGTAGTTCGCCAGGCGACACTCGATTGATATTTTCATCAAGGTGCTTGATATTGATCATCTCCGACGAAACAGCAATACTTGTGTGAGAAGACTTCCCATGAAATTGATCCGATTCTACACAATTCGTTTCTTTTTCGATCATTTCACCCGATTTGAGTTGTTCATCGAGTTTCACGGATCGAATTGATGCAGAATTTCTCAGCAAATAGTTCGCACCTTGTCAAGTGACAAACCCTTCGTTTCTCAAATACAAAAGATTGCAAAAATCAAACAAAGGACACTTACGATTGTATACTTCCTTTATCCTCATCGTCTATGTATGGTGTTGCATAACCAAGTCCAAAGTTGAACAACCAATTCGATGCACTTGAAAAACGGCATACATTTTGCTCGGATCGATATCGGATAGATTTCTCCTATCGCGACTCAAGCAGTTGGACTCTAAATTGATACAGAAAAGCAGTGTAAATGCAATCAATGCCTTCTGAGCTGCTTCATTCGATTGTCCAACAATAGTCTCAATAATGGCAATCAGATATTCACAAACCAATATTCCCGCTGCACCAATAGTTAGAATCTTTCTCTGACCAAGTATGCCCATCAGCAATAAACCAGAAATGATCATATCAACATTCACAACATCTTTGACAACCGTGATCAAAAGTAGTTGAGAAATTTTTGATAGATGAAAGAAAGGTGTTCCATAACAGAAAGTAAAGTTGATTTCAGTTAGTTAGTTGTTGCCTAACTTGAAGGCAAGCTCTAACTAGTATTCGGAGAAGATTCTTCCATGGCCTTATTTTGAAACAATTAAGAAAGCTTGCGCTAACCATATTGTTTCATTCATTCAGCATTGGTAACTAGCTCTTGAATATCATTGACTTCATTTGGATGATTGACGCAAGCCGTGGTTGTTATTTCTTTATTTGTCCAAACAGGTTCTTTTAGGATTAAATATCGGGGAGATTCAGCCAATGAGAGCATTCCGCCGGAAATAATCACTGCCCAATTTAACTGTATGCCAAGGAGAATTCGGAAACAATTATATGAGGGCATACAGAGGTGGAGAGCATCGTTGCCCTTAGGATCAGGCTCCTCTTTCTGTGTGACACAAAGTCACATTTTCTTCAAAGTTACCATTGTAACATTGTATACTTTAATTATGCACTCGATAAATTACAGCGTTTACTACCTGACAATCAACACCGATCTCAGCATGTAGAAAACCCAAAGAGACTGAAAATAATGTAGAGTAGTTTGTTACAATTTTGAAAATAGAATTCATTTTTTAATTTGTGTTGTATCATATTTTCAAGCTATTCGTGAATCTGAATATCGACGACAAGGGATTTTTTCACTTTGAGACACTGTAGTTATGATCAACCTATCGGCATCTTTCATGTTTTCTTTTCCCAGTTCCAGTCAATTATGTCTTGCATTTGTACAAACCCTTAACGAGACAGAACATCTGAAGACATTTACAAGAACAAATTGAACAATATTAACGTTTGTCCAAGTGTTTGATTGCTTTTTTTCACAGCAACTGCGAACTATTGGTTTTCATTGAAAGAAAATAAAAGATATGAAATTATTTACATTTGAAAATTTTAAAAGCTGGTTGCATCTAGCTCATTCTTATGAAATGCTTAAATTTCCAGAAACTTCAATTGTCATAAGATCTTCAATCATTTTTTGATGACAATCAAACTTTGCCAAAACTTAATGTCGCTATCCAAGGCGATATAGTTTCGACTGGCAGATACGTTAGTGTACACTACAGGGCATGCACCGTGCCCACTGACAATGACGATGATCAGATCAGCAATGAAGTGGTTAGCAAAACAATCAATAGATAGTCAGCACAAAATCGATTTTTTTATCTCTGCGTCGAATTCAGAATGGTGTCGGAGAGCATCATTGAAAGCCCTATATAAAGTACGTAATATGAGTTCAATATGAACGAAGATTTAGTTGTTTCTCATAACTTCACAAATAAATTAGGAAAACGAAACTTAAAACTCATGACCGTTTGAAAATCCTATACTAGAATATAGACAGTACTTCGAAACATTCCTTTGATAAACTGTGCTCAAGTTTCATCTCTTGACGGAGCATATATATATCTATAAATTTATATTTCGTGTTTGAATAATAGAGGCGTGAACAGGAGGAGAAGTATTAATGTCTGTTTCACCGCAAGCTTTTTGTGAATTGTTAGTTAATCTGTTTATGAAGATCGATTAGTCGGATAAAAAGGTCAGTTTGAACCTTTTTGCTAAAACTACAAGTATGTTATCCAATGTTAAATCAACTGGATGCTAAATTAACATATGAGCCAGTTCTAAAGGTCAAGATCTGCTTCTTATCCTGATTATTTACAGAGATATCCCAATATTCAAACTTTGACTTTTATATTAAACAGATAACGAATCACGTAGTAATGTTAAACTTCATTTTCTATTTCTTTAAAATTCAACATTCAAGCACTTGAGCAACTCATTTCCGATGTTTCTTTGTTCACTGAGATTAAGTCATGATATCTGGAGTGCGAAGTAGTGCTTTCAGTGATACCGCTCAGATTCTCTTTTATTCCTTTTCACTCGCCCTTAGGCATTGCGCTACTCTACGATACTATGTAATTTTTGATTGGTAAGTATACCAACAGTGGAAGAGTACCTAATTTTCATACACTCCGATTACTATTAAACATTATCAAAAGCATGTCAAATGACGTTTTGTTTCATGTAACTAATTACTTGATATAATTAGTTTTATCAGAATGAAAGTTAATTAAGTAGAAAAGAAAAAAGAAGAAGGATTTTCCTCAGAGAATGTCTCAATGGATATCACGAGCAGGACAAAACCTTTAGATGCATATTTATTGAATCCAAAGAAAAACATCTTGTTTTTTCATTCTTTTGATGTTTATTTGCGATTACACCCTTTTTGAGTAGAAACACGTAGAAAAAGTCTAGAAATTTTTCTAAATTTCAGATGATGAGATCTATAAAGGTTTGATTATTTCAGACTAATTCCCAGAATGTCTTCATCAAGTACCTATTTATTACCCATTCAGCAAAAAACTCTTTGCGATCTCCTGGTTTTATGTTACATTTGGCATTGCTGGATGTTTTCTCAATATTCTTCTCTTTTCCAAAAAACAATTTCGACGAATCTCCTGTTGTATATGTAATTAATTCATTTTCATCCAAATTTCTTCTTTCAAAGCTTTTCTTTTTCAAGATTTTTTAGTTGCATCTATCGCTATGTTTATCCAATTGATCATTTATGCAGTTCCATCGATTTATGCATTCTATTATTTCAATCCCATGTCATATTACATGATTTATTGTAAAATTCGAATGTATCTTATTCTCTCATCAGCACTAATTTATCATTGGTCGTATGCTGCTGCTTCTTTCGATCGTTATGCACTTTCATCAACAAATGTTCGTCTAAGACAATTAGCAAAAGTGAAAACAGCCATTCGCATGTTAACTGCAATCTGTTTGGTTTCACTGACATTTTCAGTTTATGTACCAGTTGTGTATGAAGTCAAATCATCAACATGTAGTATATTCAATAATCCAGGTGCAACATTATTTACGACATTATCAAGCATTTTGCTGAATGCATTCATTCCGACGACAATCATGATTATTTGTACTTTATTGATCTGGAAAAATCTGAAAGAAAAACGACAACGTCGTCGAAACTTGTTCAATCGAGAAAACAATAATCTTGCGCAAGAAAAGCAGGATCGACAAGCACTTCGTATGTTACTTGTTCAAGTGATTGTGCTTGTTCTTATTCGAATCCCTTGGCTCATCTATAGCATCAACAATGTGATTTCATCTTACGTCACAAATAAAAGTTCAGAACGAATTGCAATTGAAAACTTCATCACAGCTGTAGCTGGTGCGTTCTCGTTTTTATTTCCATCAATCTCATTCTATGTGTTTACATTAGCATCAAGTTTATTTAGAAATGAATTATTTTCTCTTCTCAAATTTTGCTTCTGTTGTAAACGTTTTATCTACAATCATCAAGTCACACCAGCAGAGAGACATAGGACATAGAAAGCAACTTTCAACTAAATATTTCGATGCTGTCTTGTTTTTTTTTTATTGATCAGGTCTTAATAAAATGCGACTCTCAGTCTCATGAGAAAAATGTTGATCGAATTCGAACAACTTGCTTATAGATAGCAGTTTGAAATGCTTTTCGATAAGTTTCCGATGGTAATACAAATGTCGAGAATGTTAAAATTGATGGTACAAACGGCGAATAATAAGCGATAATATAAAACCATGGTTCACGCGGCGTTTTCATACATCCGCTAAGAAACGAAAGTATTAAACGAGGTGTTCCTAATAGAACTAATGTTAACGGAGAAATTAGCAAATGTTTATGTCGGCTTAATTGTTCTTTGGAATGTTGAGAATATGATTTATTTTTCTGAAGATTTGATCGACTACGGATGACCAAAATGATAATCATTATTGCAGAGGTTAGATTGACGATAAACGGCCCAAGAAAATGAAGAAGAGTAATGAAGCTATTATACATATTGACAACAGGTGGATATCGAACAAAACACCAAATTCGTCGATCATCGTCATCGAAATCTTTGATTAATTCTCGATAATACGTATCATGTCCATGAGAAAGTAATACTAAACCAATCACAATTGGAATAACTCGTTTTGCTAATTGAACACTTTTGATTTTGTCAAACTTGGGACCACTTCGTGTATTAACTACTCTTTCAATCGCCACACAAGCAATAATCCATTCATTCGAGGTTAATAATGATTTTAAAACCATGTCAATGGATTTGCAAGCGAATAATGAATGAAATTCATTGTGAATTGTGTTCATTTGTGAAAGAATCAAATAAAGGAACTTCATTCCCAACATAATGATCATAAAGAATGAAACAATCGATGATGCCAACAAATAATATCCACAGCCCACTTCTCGAGGGTTTTTCATATGAAATGTCAAAATCGATAATAGAACATCGATTAGACCTAGAACGAATATGCCAAGAGTTATACCCATTGTGATTTTAATGATCACTGGTTGAGAATAAAATGAACGATTTGGTTTAATGTAATAACCGATAATTGGATCAAGTGAGAGAAGATTTCCTTTTGTTGACATTTGACATTTTCCACCATAGTAACAATCTTTACAAGCACAGATCGATCGTGTTGCACATGTTTGATTATTTTGAAAACATTCGCCATGATTCTCGCAATCGTTTTGTCCTTGACAAGTTTTATCAACTGTACGATTAAATTCGAAACAATTAGCAAAACGATCAAGATTACAGACGCAAAGTAGCTGTTCATCATAGAAGCACATCAAATGACGTTGTTGTCGACATATAAATGAATAAAACTTCGGATGATCAACTGATTCATATTGAAGTAATGTCATATTGACACGAAGCGAATCCCTATATTTGAAAATTTAGGTAAGATTATATGCAGTGCATTTGAATGATATCATCTCCTATCATGATACGAATTCTCGATGGTCAATTTGAAAATATCTGAATTTCGAAGTCACTGTCTGATTCAATCTGTTGGCACTCCGTCAAGAATGGGATGAAGGGGAGAATTTTCGTGCCGCCTCTAGGTATGGACTTGAATCAGTTGTTTAGATCAGACTAATAACAAAACTGCAATTGGTCCGTGGTTTCGGGCATATCTATCAAGAGTATGTGCGAATAGGAATACTATACGATTCACTTGTATTATATAGAACCTTACTCGACGAGTGAATAATCGGCATGAGGCCAATCCTGATTTAAATATTGTTTAACATAAGGACAATATTGTTTGGATGTAACTTGTCCGCGAATATTTTCCATTGGAATATACTTTTCTCGAACAATCCCTAGATAATAACTTTGATCGATTAATTGAATAAATATAAGATTGAATTGTTTGGCAACATAAAATGAAATTGCATTTTCGTCAATTGGAATTCTCTTGATAATAGTTGTGTGTTCATGTGCTGTTTCTTCGAATATTGTAATAAAATGTAAGAAAACGAATGGGGAGCTAGCTGAAATCGTTTGATCTAGTTCGAGAAGTATGCGTGAACTCGAATATTGACAAAGCGGTCCGAAATTATGTTCTTTACAGTAACAGGAATAACCATGTAAATCAATTCGATCATCTTGAGGAGTACACAATCCTCCTTCTTGACATGGATTGTTTTCTAATGAACAAATTGGCCGTTGTAAAGAACATTTTGATCCAAATCGATTTAGCGGACAAACACAAATATTTGGTGAATGACAATAAGATTCTTTTGAACATAAACATCGATACGATTGATTACAAAACGGACCTGAATAACCTTGATCACAATGGCAGAAATATTTCGACTGATTGTTTGTATATCGAAGACATCGACCATGTAAACCACATTGCAAAAGACATGGATAATATGCTCGTTCTTTTGGAATAATCAGTTGTGTTGATATTCGATTGACAGGAAGAAATTGAAATGGAATGGGTAAGTACCAACTCGTCCAATGGCCCAATGCAACTTTATCGATGAGATCAATATGAATTGAATAAATTGTTGAAGGAGACTTTGGTCGTTGTGGATATAAAAGATAACGGTGAAACTTTGCTCCACAATCTCGAATTGGTACAAAGAGAATTTCTTCATGTTTACCAACGATTTTATTTTGTTCATCAATCAACATAATAATCACTTGAAAGCTACTTGCAACAGATGTTGTATGCGGCAAGATAAAGTGAATTGTAAGACTAACTCGTTGATTTTGCCATTGACATCGAGATCCAAAATAACTTGGCGGACAAAGGCAAGCTTTCGTCTGGTTTTGCCCAGATAAAATGAGAATACCGCGATTACAAAACCATGTCTCGGATATATCCATAGGGTAATAAATGTTGTTCTCTTTCTCAATTGTAGATTGATGTCGAACAGAAGATGACGAATTTACACGCGGATAATTACCTAACCTTGATGCCATTAAAACTGATTGTCTACGATCGCGAAGCATGTCAATATCCAAATGGCAAAGTTTCTGTTGTGTATCAAATAGTACTATCGGATGTTTGTTTTTAAGTTTAGGACTTAACACTGGATCATATAAGCATATACCATTGTTGTTCGTTATGCTTACCATTTGTTCTTGCCGACATATATTGTCCCAAAAGAAGCATTTAGTTTTATTCCATGGGTAATATGCACTTTCGTTGACATCAGCACTTCCATTGTTGAGGTAGAGCGCTCGACCGAACTGAGACACACAAAGACTTTGAATGTCATCGACTATTTGACTAGCTGGCAAACAGTGAGTTAATCTTGATTGATCATCGTAACATTCATGTTCATTAGACAAACAATTCGAATAAGGACAATTTAATTCATCAATACCATTCGAACAATCCCAGATCTTATCGCATTTAACATATGGATTATTACATGGCCACAGTTCACAAAACTTTCTATCTCGATGAGGAGCGATGTATAGACGTTGCCCCGCCTGGCCAAGACAAAGTTGTGAATATAATTTTGTCCTATTAAAATCTTGTTTCGAATGAATCTCTTCGTCATCTTTACTTCCACAGTCTCGAAAACCGTTACCAATCGCAACAGGTGACAAACATCTATAGCCGCCAAGTGGACACTGATATCGACGTGTATCATTGAATGGGCAAGCAGAATAATATTCATCTTCGCCATGAATACAATCTTGATGACTATCTTGAATACGATGATATGAAATACATTTTCTTGATTCATTACAATGAAATTGCATCGAATTATCACAAAAATCTTTCGTATCGGTGGTTAAACATTGTTTAATAATATGATGAAGACTCAATAATAAACCATTCAACCTGTATATTTGATATTCCATTGTTAAATTTGATGCCGAACTACAAGTCAAATCGTTGATTATTTCATGGTTATCCACTCGATCTTTAAAAACAGGACATTTGTTTATGTTAAAACAAATGAGATCAGGTTGAATATTTTCTTCGAATTCTTCGACTGAACGATTAGTAAAATAGATCAATTGAAAATATCCAAGCATAGTTGCGCTTTGCGGTAAAACTAACCATTCCGATGCACACTTTTCTCTTAATGATTCGCATTGTTTAGATAGCATTCTTTTGCTCGATATTTCATTGATATGAAGTGAACAGTAAAATGCTTGTCGACAATCCTTCTCTTTAATATGATCTAACGATTCAAACAACTGTCGCATCATTTCTCCATCGCGATTGTTTCGGCATGTCGCGATGTTTAATCGCGTAAATATACCATGCGTATATTGACCGTCGCCGCATGAATATTGTTGCGGATATCGTGTAGTTCGCTCTTCGCATCGAAATATTGGTAAATTTATACAATTAAAGTTATACGTTGAAGGCCGACCAGCATTTGGATAAACATGAACGTCACGCTCATCACTTCCATCTAGACAATCGACACTACTGAGACTTTCCCATGCAAATTCTAATGGAATACATTGACCATTGTGGCAACGATATTCATTTTCATTACATTGATTCATTTCAAGTTCTTCACAATATTGTTCATCTTCACCATTCGGACAGTGCAGTTTCTTATCACAAACTTCGCGCCAATCGAGACAATTCGGCCACGATTGACTATTACAATTCTCAATAAAAGGGTAACATGTACCTGTTTTCATTGAGACTCTTGATCGTCGAACAAAAGTTTCATTTACAATCTGACTAAAGGTCATTGACGAATCATAAGGAAATCTGTATTGACATTTTGAACCGAACCATGGTGATGAACAATTGTAAAGAAAACTTCCATTATTCATCTCATAATCTTCAATGATATCGATCGGTAAAGACCAATTTAGTAAATGTTCACTTGTAACATTTTGTCGTTTTAAGTCTGCAAAATAGAGTTTTGTTGAAAGATCTTCATCAATCGAATTTTTTGATTGTTCTTCGTCATCTTGTGCTCTTATGCAGTAAGGTATTAGATAATAATTCCGAATGTAAGGTGCATCGGTAATTAAATTTCGATCAAAATCCCAAACAGCATAAAGACAATCATATGAAGATGGGCAATCATTCGAATGATACATAAGATAATGGGCATGACTTCTGTGACATATTGTAAAGAAAATTAACACACGTAAGAAATGCATTTTCTAGTAATGACGTACATCAGAGGTTTTTACTTTACTTGTAAAATATGTTTTAGCTTCTTCTTTCTACAGATAAAAAGAAACAGCAAATATACTTTTGCTTTCATTGTCCTCTCCATCACTTTATTTCATGACATCAGGCATAGCGATGTTCGACACTAACAGGATATGTATATGACAACATATAAACCTGTTACTGAATTTGATAATCATCAAAAAGGATAAAATGAAAATCTTATCATGATTGGAAACACGTGTAAATGTCTTTTTGTTATTCGGATATTTTACGTTGTCCTTGTTGGCGAGTTATTCCTCCTCTTCTTCATTTTTGCCCTATATTATGAGATATTCGTTTTTTTTAAGCCTATCATTCAATACTATGTGTCATCTCTTTCTTTTACTCTTTCTAGTCGTTCTTCTTTTTTTTATTGTTTCTTGATTATCTGATGGCATTGGATCCACAAAAAGGATTAAATGAGAAATAGTCGAACGAAAGTCAGTTATCACGAAAATTGAAAAGGCGATAACCAATTGCATTCCCATTCATTCTTGCAAATAAATTAAACAATGTGCCTCCGTTTATCTACATAAATCTTGCGTTCTTTACATTTTCTATTCTTCCCATATTTGCGCATAAAGTGTTATGACGACATCTTGCCATTGTTCATCTCATTTCATCATTCTTCTTCCACCTGTCTCTCCTTCAGCTCAAAGTACATACTTACAAACTACTGTGATAAAAACAAAAAAAAACAGTTTTTCAAATGAATAATTTATGTGTGTGGATAAATGTGCTTTCAAACATGAATATACAGGCTCTTTGTCATATCGATGAGATTGTTTTTCTTCTGACACTTCGCATATCAGATGCATTATTAATATTCTTGTCAATCATTCCCCCGCCACGCGTATCGCTTAGGATTGTGTGACATTTTCCTCCCACTATATGTATCACTTATTTGATTGGTGTATATACTTTCCTTATGTTGGTAAAGTTTAGACTTCGTTCTCACATGCAACAACAATTTACTACTCAGTTAGTATTGTATAGTTTTACGTGCTTCTTTGATTCCACTATCGTCCTTATTTTTCGTTGCAGTATCCGTTGAAGAAATTGAGAGAGACGGAAAAGAAGGAAGGAGGGGAGAATAATTGACCACGTTGAATTTGAATAGGTTACTATTATCTTGCAAGGACAGTCACTTCTGAATCGTACTGAACTGATAGGCATGAGAAATGTACAAGTTAAAACGGATATATATATATCAAGTAACATTGAATACGTTTATTTTGTTTTGTAGGCAATTCAGTAAATCATGACAAATTCAAAGAACCGAATCATTGGTGAACATGGCGTTGCTAATAACAATGGAAAATACTTCTACTGGAGAAAAGTCCCTTCATGCAACAAAAAGTTTCAATGCAGGAGATATTGTAATACGTACATTCATTTACTATTAGAGAAACTTTAAGCAAACCAACATATTTGCACTACGTTAACCATAGTTGTCAACCAAATGTTTATTTTGATACCAAACAAATGAAGTTATTTGCATTAAAAGAAATTCAAATTGGTGATGAATTACTTTATTTCTATCCATCAACAGAATGGAGTATGGTACAATCATTTAATTGTTTATGTTATACAAAGACATGTTTACAAAGAATTCAAGGTGCTCAGTATCTTTTGTCAGAAATTATCCAAAAACATCGTCCTAGTAGTTTTATCCAACAAAATTTTAGTGAACTAAATAACAATAAACTCTCTCGCTATAGAAATCAGAGGTAAGTAAGAAATATTTTCAAATTTCAATCGATATTCCATGGATATATTTCGACCGTACTTTTCAAGTGGAGCGTTGTATCTATGAGAGATGTGCGTAAAAGATAAAACTGAAGATTATAGCAGCATGAAAAAGTTACTCATAGAATTGCGTCCTAAAAAGTTATTTTCATACGAAACTTCAACGCAATTCATGTATTATATCGATATTTGTCAAAAGAAATTATGATATAGTACGCCATTTCTATACATTTTTGACGTAAATTAGTAATTCCCTACGCATTTGTGTATAGTGCTCGTAAATGCCCTTAATAACTCATTAGGCGTGTCTATTCACCTGGGCATCTATATATACACGGTTAATAAACAGAAATTATCATTTATATTCGAATAGAACAACAATGCGTTACATCGCCCTTCTCTTCGTACTCTTTGCTTTCATTTATCTGACTCAATCGAATGTTTTAAAACATGGTAAGATTTGATTTTACAAAAACAACTCTAATTCTCGCTATATCTTTCAGACGATGATGATAAATGCCAATATAATAATCTTGGAATACATTGTGATATAGCTTGTACAAATTCGATGATACAACAGCTTTGTTCAACTGGTTCGAAGTGTTGTACAAGTCACCATGATTGCGGAAGACATCAAAGATGTTGTCCACCATCATCGTGTACATGTGTCAAACGTTGCGAAAANAAGTGAAATGGCAAATATTATGAACTGCTCTCCTTTTTTTTCTTCTATTAACTAATGAAGATATCCAGTAAGCTCTCGCCTGATGTCTGTTTCTGTTCACCTTCCGTTTGAAAAAATAGAGCACAATTTTGTGTTGATACACGAGAAAAAAAACAAGGTAATTCATTGTAGAGAAACAAACGCATTTTTTCTCTTATTTTCACTGCAAAACAATATAAACAATAAAGAGAAATATTTAGTAATTCGCATTTTCTGTATGTCTCTCATTCTTTGCTTGTGTTCCCAAAAGAAATGTTTGTAAATCAATTATTTGAAAAGCCACACCACAGGAAGATCTTTCAATTGATGAAGTGTACAACGTGAAGTATTCATAATAGAAGGATTATCTCGTTCATTACTCATGACTTGTCATGTTTAGTCCATGTGATTAGTGGTATAAGTATATAAAATTCGAACAATGTTTTCTTGATTCTTTCGTCGTATCATAGAACGACGAATGTCATGTGAAGTTTAACAAAGACACAATTGTCTTAAGATGATTAGTGTATATTTAAGCTGGATTGCATTCAGACTTTGTCCAAATATGAAATCTGGTATGCAAAAGTCGAGTCTAAAATAAGTGACCAATAGAATTTCAACTTTTTTCATTTTCTCTCCAATTCGAGAATCTCCACGATAGAAATCCTGTTAGCTTTCTGTTAGTGACCAAAGACTCATGCCCACTAGACATTAATAGGCCCGACGGAAACAACAGCGAGCTGTGATCTGTATCGGATCAGGTTAGTGTGTGTCTGTGTGTGGTTCTCCTACTTCGTGGTTGACAGTGATGAACCGACGAAATGAGGTCTTCGTGAAGATGTTTATTTAATCGACGAGAGGAAAAACAAAACACGACTGGCTTCGATCGTAAATCAAAAAGAGCTGCCTGTCTGATCACACAAGTTAAAAAAGCGGTCAGACAGGCGGCACGAACAATAGAGAATACAGTGAACGAAATATAGGAAACGAGGAGAACGAAAAGAAAAGAAAAAGGTCTTCGTGTAGTATTGAACCACACGAAAGAGAAAAGGTTAGCGATAACTATGTACTCACTGTTATCGCTAACAAATTCTCGGAAAGAAACTCTCATCAAATGGATTTGCAGTTAACCATGACGGATTTGTCGTCAATCTTTTCGTGGCTACTCTTCTCTTAGTTATATTCACAATAGAAATTCCTTAGTCACAGATTACCACTGACGTAAGTCGTCGGGCAAACGAAATAAGTTTGTGAAGTTCAGAAAAATGTATGTCATGTTTAGGAATCAGTTTCTGAACAACATTTATTCTATAGTGCAGCGATGTTTTGTTCTCTCGAACATCTTTGTCAAAAAGTGACTTTGTGTGGTGTGTCCGGGCAAAAATAATAAAAACACGCGACGAAACTTCCGAATACGATGTTAGGCGCATCGTATTAATACGTATATTCAGTTCCAAGGAAACCACTCACTGATTAAATTCACTTTCCTACTCTTACACAATTTCTTCAGTCGTTCAAATATGGAATTGACTTGAAGGTTTCCAGTACTGTTTCATTGTTCTCGTTTAGCGAGAGAAAGAAAAACGGTATAGCCTTAGAAACCAGCAAACATAAAATATACTACAAAGAAAAATGTTCTCAAAATCTTTCCGTAGTATTTTGTAGTTCGCCAGGCGACACTAGATTGATATTTTCATCAAGGTGCTTGATATAGATCATCTCCGACGAAACAGCAACACTTGTGTGAGAAGACTTCTCATGAAATTGATCCGATTCTACACAATTCGTTTTTTTTCCGATCATTCCACTCGATTAGAGTTGCTCATTGAGTTTCACGGATCAAATTGATGCAGAATTTGTCAACAAACTCTTCGTTTCTCAAATACAAAAGATTGCAAAAATCAAACAAAGAACACTTTCGATTGTATACTTCCTTTATCCTCATCGACTATGTATGACGGTGCATAACCAGTCCAAAATTCAACAACCAATTCGATGCACTTGAAAAACGACATACATTTCGCTCGGATCGATATCGGACAGATTTCTTCTATAGCGACTCAAGCAGTTGGGCCCCAAGTTGATGCAGAAAAGCAATGTAAATGCAATCAATGCCTTCTGAGCTGCTTCATTCGATTGTCCAACAACAGTCTCTATAATGGCAATCAGATATTCACAAACCAATATTCCTGCTGCACCAATAATTAGAATCTTTCTCTGACCAAGTTTGCCCATCAACAATAAACCAAAAACGGTCATATCAACATTCACAACATTCTTGACAACCGTAATCAAAAATAGTTGAGAAATTTTTCATAGATGAAAGAAAGTTGATTTCGGTTAGTTAGTTGTTGCCTAGCTTGAAGGCAAGCTCTAACTAGTATTCGGATTCTTCGATGGCCTTATTTTGAAACAATTAAGAAAGCTTGC